TCTTAATTCTAAGAAGAATCAAATCATAAGAAATATGCAAAAATCAAATTGATCTTCTTAAAACTAAACTATCCTTGAAAAATAACATTATTGACACTACTCAGGAAAATCTAAGAGTTACTAGTTTATCAAATTCCTCGCTATCTGCTGAAATTGATAAAGTTAAAGACCTCTTGAACAAAGAACAAATTGTGCTAAAACTTTGGGCTAAATCTCACAAAAATGCTAATTATGTTATTTCTGCTCAAATACCTCATTCATGTGAGAAAATCCTTGGGGGAAATTTTGCTGAAGCTGAAAAAGTTTTTAAATCTCAAGAAAAAGAATCTGAATTTTATTCCATGAATGAATTGAAAGATAGTTTCAAAAACAAATTTATCAGCAACACTTTTGTTAATCAGAGTCTCATTGATGAATACTATGTTACTGATTCTAATGGTGTTACTAAGTGTAATATTGAAATTACCGGAATTGATCCTACTTCTTACCTTGCACATCTTGAGAGACTAACTCCTCTCACTGAAAATATTATCGCATTTCCTATCTCAAATGGAGTGTTTCATTCCGTTCATGAACAACTTAAACATTATCCTGATTGCAGTGTTTCAGTGCATAAATCTAAATCTGATACTGATGTCATCTCCTTATCCATGACTAATCATAGTTCTTCTAACACTGAATTCAGTTGTAATTTAATGTCAAACAAAAGAACTCAAAGTTCACTGGGTGAATCTTTCAAATCCAAATGTGTTAAATCTAGAAATCTGCTCACCAAGAAAAACTTTAGTACTAGATTTTGTTACATATGTGGTAACACCTCTCACAAGATCAGTGAATGCAAGTTTGATAAAACATCATTAAGAGCTGACAACATCAAAGTTAGAAATGAAAGATGGACTCTTAAATCAAATTCTTTGAACTGTCTTCCTAAAGAGTGCTATAAAATATTGTCAAATAACTTTGTGAATGACGCATCTTACAATGGGTCAGTATGTTCTAACTAGTTTCTCAGCACTGCAGGGTCAAGAGCATCTTTGGTACTTAGACAGCGGTTGCTCAAGACATATGATAGGATCCAAGTCTCTCCTGGAAGACTATGTCAAGAAAACTGGTCCTGCAGTAACTTACGGAGACAATGGAAAGGGGTTTACTAAAGGATATGGTAACATCAAGTGCAATAATGTGGTGTTTCAGAATGTTTCATATGTAAAGGGTCTCAAACACAATCTTATCTCAATCAACCAATTGTGTGATGCTGATTATGAAGTTCATTTTACAAAGAAGTTTGGAAGAGTTATCAACACTGACAAGAACATTGTACTCTCAGCAAGTAGAAAAGATGATATATATGTTCTTGACATGTTCTCAAGTGACAAGGCACTGATGCAATGTTTCTTTACCAAATCTCAAACCAATCTCAGCTGGATTTGGCACAAAAGTTTCTCTCACTTGAACTTTAAGAATCTATCTAAAATATCCAATCAAGATCTAGTTAGAGGTCTTCCAAAATTCAGCTTTGTCAAAGACAAGATGTGCTCAGCGTGTGAACAAGGAAAGCAAACCAAGTCATCATTCAAACCCAAGTCATGTTCTAGCATATATGTTCCTCTTTATTTACTACACATGGAATTGTTTGGACCTATTCCTGTTCGTTCCCAAGGAGGAAATAAGTATACGCTGGTGGTTGTGGATGATTTTACCCGATTTACGTGGGTGGCTTTCTTGAAGAAGAAAGGTCAAGCTGCACAGGAAATTATCTCACTGATTTGACAAAACGAGATACTGACTGGTCTCAAAGTTAAGCAGCTAAGGAGTGATCATGGAATTGAGTTCCGGAATTCGACTCTTGAAGACTTTTGTGATTTTAAAGGTATTGGGTAGAACTTTTCAGCTCCTCGCATGCCTCAACAAAATGGAGTTGCTGAACGAAGAAATCGAACACTGATTGAGGCAGGAAGGACCTTAATGATTCATGTTGGTCTTCCTATGTCGTTTTAGGCTGAAGCTGTTAATACAACATGTTATACTCAGAATCGCTCTCTAATTCACAGGGTTCACAAGAAGACACCATATGAGATGATGAAAGGTCGAAAGTCGGACGTATCCTTCTTTCACATGTTTGGATGCATTTGTTACATTCTTAATCAGTGCGACCCTAGATCAAAATTTGAGCATAAGGCTGACAAAGGTATTTTTGTTGGATATTCATCTATTTCAAAGGTTTTTCGTGTTTTTCATGTGAACAGACAATGCATTGAGGAATCCATTCATGTAAAGTTTGATGAAGAATCCTACACTGATGAAAAAATAGCTCATTCCCCTTCTATTTTTCAAGAGCTTCTCTCCTATCCATCTGATGAAGTCTCACATACTGAAGAAGAAGCTGCCCATTCCTGATCCCATCGTTCTAGACCCAAGTCCTATCAATCAAGGCACTATAGTCAGCATGACAACTTTTTTGTCAGATGCTAATGAAACCCTTGAATCTGAAGACTCTCCTGTAACTGATGGTCCTTTCATTGATAACTCTTCAGCATCAAACTCATTTGAATCAGCTCCAGAACATCGAGATCACCCTATTGATCAAATTATTGGAAATCTTCATGATGGTGTCCAAACCATATCTCGTGTATCTAATAATTTTTGCATGTATGTTAACTTTGTTTCAATGATCTTACCTGACAAGATACACTCAGTACTTCAACACGCTGATTGGATTGAAGCCATGCAAGACGAGCTGAATGAGTTCAAAAGGCACAAGGTTTGGACTCTTGTTCCCAAACCATCACAGGAACACGTTGTGTCTATCGAAACAAGGTTGATAAAGATGGTGTTATTACTCGCAACAAAGCAAGAGTTGTTGCTCAGGGTTCACTCAAATTGAATCTATTGATTACAGGGAGACTTTTGCTCGAGTTGCCCACATTGAAGAAATCAGATTGTTCCTTGCATATGCTTCATACATGAACTTCATTGTCTACCAGATGGATGTCAAAACAACATTTGTTCATGGTGTGTTAGAAGAAGAAGTATTTCTCAAACAGCCCCCAGGCTTTGAAGACAAAGAGCACCCTGACTATGTGTACAGACTGGATAAAGCTGTATATGGACTGAAGCAAGCTCCCAGGGCCTGGTATGAGACACTGACATCATATCTTCTTGAAAATGGCTACAGAAGAGGAGCAATTGATAATACACTCTTCATCAAAAACAATGGCTCAGACATGATTCTTGTTCAAATCTATGTCGATGATATCATATTTGGCTCTCCAAATGAGAAGCTGAGCAAGGAATTCGCTGAGATCATGTCTCAAAGGTTCGAGATGAGCATGATGGGGAAGATAACCTTCTTCTTAGGTCTTGAGGTTCAGCAACAAAAATCAGGTATCTCAATTTGTCAAAGTAAATATATTGCTGACATGCTTGTTAAGTACTCTCTCAGCAACTGCAAACCAATCTCTACTCCGGTGTCCAAGACTGATAAGCTACACACTGATCCCACCGACACTGATGTTGATCACTCTCTTTATCGAGGAATGATTGGATCTCTTCTCTACCTCACTGCAAGTCGCCCTGATATCATGTTTGGAACCATTCTCTATGCTACATTTCAAGCTAATCCCAAGGAGTCTCATCTCATTGTAGTTAAACGAATTTTTCGATACTTAAAGGCACTCATAACTTGGCATTGTGGTACCCTCGTGACTCAGCACTTGAACTTTTTGGATACATTGATTCCGACTATGCAGGATGCAACTTAGACAAGAAGAGGACGTCAGGTGGATGTCATTTCCTTGGAAATTGACTAATCAGTTAGTCTAGCAAGAAGCAAACCTTAGTAGCTATCTCCACTACAGAAGCTGAGTATGTTGCAGCTGGGAGATGTTATGCTCAGCTCTTATGGATTCAAAATCAGCTTTTAGACTATGGGCTTAAATTCACAAAGACTCCTATATACTGTGATAACACCAGTGCCATTCAGATCACACAGAATCCTGTTCAGCACTCAAAGACAAAGCATATCGAGATCAGACATCACTTCATCAGAGACAATGTTGAGAAGGGCAAGGTTGTTCTAGAACATGTCAAGAATTCAAATCAACTAGCTGATATTTTCACCAAGGCCCTGGATACTCAAACTACTGCTCACATTATTGGAGAACTTGGAATGATCACTATGGATTAATGTTTTACTAATGTTTTCTATTGTCTTATATACTGATGTATTTTTTTTTATGATGATGATGTGTTGATGATGTTTTCTATGCTGAGTACCTTGTATGATCTCTTATCTCTATCTCTTCTATAAACCTTCTAAACTAAAGTTGAATGATTCACTGTATTAAACCATACACTGATAACAACTTGAAACTCTTTGCCGATGGTTAGACAAAACACCAAGATCTATCACACGCAACTATCCCTTCTTACCAATCTCACACTGATTCTATGATTCAATGTGACAAAACACATGCTGATGAGAGTCTAACAGTCTTTGCCGATGGTTAGACCAAAACACCAAGGTCTATCACACGCAACAATCCTCTCATCACCTTCTTCTCACTCAGTGTCTAATGATTCAGTAAGTGGTACCACTCACTGATAAAGACTCAACATTTTGTACCGATGGTTAGATAATTAAACCAGTATCTATCACACGCACCAACCACCTTGCTAACCCTAAACAAGCAAGTTGTACCTTGAATTGACGACAGATTATCTTTCAGCATGTAACTTTTAGTGTCACTGATCTCAGCGCTTACGCAAACACTGATTGTCGTTTCCTCTTCATTACAACGGCTTATTTTCAACGGCTATTTTTTCGGATTTGATAGTTTGTTACGATACAGAATTATTTTCGAAAAATATAATCATTACCTTTTTAAAAACCGTTTAATCCCATATTTAAACCTCATTCACCACCTCTCTCCCAAACTTTCCTCCCACAATTCAATTTTCCTTCTCTTTTCTTCAAAACCCTAGAATCCAAACTCTCTTCAATGGCAGCATCACTGTTTACTTTCTCCTCCACCTCAAGAAGAGTCATCCCAGCTCCAAACTCTCCTCCTCTTCCCATATACATCAAAGCCACAAATGTCATCTTTAACCCTGATATACCAGATGTTCATCGCGGTCTTGGAATTGATGATTTTGTTAATTTTCTAGTATCTTGCAGACTTCGATATGCTATCAGTGAGGTTCCATCAGAGTTCTTTCCCGAACAAGTATGTGAGTTCTACTACACCGCAACAGTCAATAATGAAAACAACATCATCTCCGACACTATTGGGAGTGGCCGTCGCTCAGTTTTCATCAACGCTGATCTCCTCCATACTGCGCTCATGTTACCAATTTTTGAACCATTCTCTGAGCTTCCAACTATTGAACATTGTATACGCCTCTTTGACCAAATGGGCTATGATCACTCCAAGGCTGGTGCTCGACCAGCTCTCATTCTACGTCAGTGTATGACTCCTGGATGGAAGTTCTTCACCGAGGCACTTTGTAAGTGTGTAGGTCACAAATGTCGCAGTGGTGATCAACTGAGTGCTTTTGAGCAACAAGTGGTATGTTCACTTCTCCTCAACAAACGTGTTGATTATGGGGCTTTCTTCTTCGATCAGCTAGTCCAACTTCTTTGAGTCAATGTAAGAGCTGATCATGTTCCGTTTCCACGCTGGATTGCTCTTGTCCTGGGTAAATTTCATGCTGAAGCCTATTTCTCACAAGCTGGAAACCCCATCCAATGCCCACGCATGTCAGTACGAATGTATCAGGATGATCCACTGGCCAATGACATCGGCATCTCTGATCGGATGCGAGAATGGATCGTGAATCCATATACCGTTCTTTCACTAAACGCTGACACTGACGAAGGAGCTGATGATAACAACGAAATTCATGCTGAAATACAAGCTGAAATGCAAGACGCTGGTCATATCTCTCCTCAACTTTCTCATCATACTATTTCTGTCACTGAAAGGGTTAACTCAGCTCAGGGGGGAGCAACAATTTCAGGGGGAGAAACCATCTCAGGGGGGAGCAGGATCGATCACAAGAAATTCCAGGTACTCAGCTCATTCAAATTCCAACCTCAGCGTTTAATGAGCTTCTTACACTAACTCGAGATATGAGTCAGCGTCTTCTACCTATTGAGGTTGATGTCAACCAACTGAAGGGAGTTATTCTGTCAACTCCTTCCCCTGGCCCAAATGATGATGATGGTCAAAAAGGGGGAGAAATTGATTTTGTTGATAAAACCGAGCCACCACAGCCTGAGCACGAGTCTGATAGACCAGCGGAAACTGAAAAGCCTACTGAATAATGTGAACATGATGATGAAGATGAACATGATGATGAGTGTCAGATGCTGGACATGAACTTCATAGATCCCACTGTGCCAGTTCAAGGTGAAAACTCAGATGTAGTTAGTGAGGATCTTGTTCCTTTATCTCGAAAGCGAAAGGCAGCAGATACTGAATCATCTAATTCACATGCTGACACTTCTCCTCCTAGCAAGAAACATAAGTCCATTGTTAGCATATCAAATCTGGAAGCTGAATGGAATATGACCTCTGATCAAGTTAAGCAAATCCTTGATGAAGCCATTAAAGCTCAACTTCTAAAGAATATTACTCAAGCTAATGAATCTCTCATTCAGCACAAACTTCAGGCAATGGAATCCTTTGAAGCTCAAGTGCAAAGGTTTCTAGAATATCAGTCCAAAACTAAATCTTCACAACCTCCTTCCAGTAGTAGTAAGTCAAGGACTGATAGTGTTCTTGACAGGATTGATCGCAAAAGGTTTCAAGATGTTTTCAAACGAAGAAGAAGCAATGAAAAGATCATCAAAGTTAAAACCTCAAAACCTTGTGAAGAGAAAATCCTTACTTTGCTGATCACTCGTCAAGGTCCTCAGCAGCAAGGCCCAAGTTCCTCAGTTCCAAGAATCAGAAGAACTAGATTTCAAGTTGATGGTGAAGATGTATTGGTTCTAAATTTTGGTGCTGAAGGAATAAACAACTCTCTTCCTATTGGTGTTGAGCCGGTTCAACATAAGTTCATCTCTGTTCCTGAATATGGAATGTTTTATCTTGATAGCAACAGGAAAATGTGTTTTCAGCGTACTACAAAAATTCCCAGGGCTCCAACAGAACATCTTGTTGGTTTAAAACAAATGTGCATGAGTCATCAAGATCTCTCTGGAGAGTTTCGTATACTGATTGCTATGGAGTTACTCAATAGAAGACAGGAGCTGCTAGATAGTCCTTACTGGCCAGTGAAAGTAAAAGCTGAAGCTGAGTATGAAGAATTTTTCTCCAGGGGTATTCTAGTCTAGCTGGTTTTGAACATCATCATATTGGGGGAGATTGTAAGGTCGAACCTTATAATATGATGATGTTTGAAACTGATCACTCAGCGTCAGCATATGACTCAGCGTCAGCGTCAGCGTATTAATTACTTAATGTATAGTTTCATATTCATAATTATGTAACAGATTTGGTACTTATCTAGTTTCCATAGTTTTCTTCTATTAGTTAGTTGGCATAATCCCTGATTTGTAGGGATTGCCTAGATTAGTTCTATATAGTCTTTGGTACAAGTTTGTAACAGGGCATCTTTCACAAACCCTAATAGACGCTTTGTGCATTCGATAATCTCTTTATGAGATAATCATTCTTAGTGAAAGTTCATCTTTTTGAATCCTCGTTGTTCTTGTTTATAGTTATTGTTTGATAATTTTTTTGATCTTTGGAACTTTCATATGGACTGAACTTGTTCAATCTTAATTTCTTGCCACTTGGTAGCACAAGGGCCTACCATATCTTCCAAGTTGTTAAGCAGCTCACCCTTACTGATTAATGAACTTTCACTGATCAAGGTGCTTTGCCTTATGCAAACAATTGAAAACTCATAGAACTCACATGCATAGTCAACTTTAACTTGAATGAGCATAGAAACAAGAATATGTGAGCATGATAAGTTACAAACCTCATGTCGTGTGCTAATGATTCACAATATGTTTATTCTTGATTTGTTCTTGAAACTTTTCAAGGTCTTTTAAGACTCCCACTGACCTCTTGACATATAAGATTCTCTTGTCAAGAACCATTCCTTGACAAAAAAAATATTCAAGAGTTAGTGAAGGCTCTTATCAAGAAAAACACTTCATATAATTGGTCTTAGTTAGTCTTTGTCTTATCTAAAACATCACAACTACCAATTTCAAATGTGTTATAAACCTACTTAAGATATGTCACTCAAGGAACAATCTTGGAGTATGACTCTAAGAATTGATTTTGGAATGGAGTATGACTTACCTTAATTGATTTAACCATTTCAACAATTCATAATTCCTCTTCTTATCCATACAAATGCACTAAGGTATACTTTAAGGATCAATTGTGACATGGTTCCATAATAATTTAGGATGATCATAAAACACGATACTAAAGTACTCGCTTTTCCTTTCAGATTGGAGAAACTTTTATCTTTCTGCCTAATTGATTCTTTTTTTTTTGTTCTGCTATACATTGAAACCTTTCAATGATTCAAAATTATACTTAATCTTGTCAGCATAATCATATTCACTAAACTCCTAGTAAATCATGATGAATAGTCTTATTATTCTTTGTGGTTGTCCTGATTGGCGCATAATAATTTGTACTAGATCCCTAGTCCTTCACTTGACTCACATCTATATGTGAACAAGAAATTAGTCTTAATTTCCCAAAGATAATGGTTCTCATTCATCATACAATACAAGTCGCATGATTCCAAGTTTCTGTCCAATTGAAACTTGGTGATGAGAATTATTCCTTATTTGGTAAATTTAGACACTACCACAAACGAAATAATCAAATCCATATTGCTAAAAATATTAAGATACAAACATCAATTTTCACAAATACCATTGCAAGGAAATATAAAATAAGATAAATTCAAAATTTCCTTTATTATAAGATTGCGGAAAACTTTTTCTTACGATGCAAGTACATATGAAAACTATGTTGCTACATATTTCTAAGCAATCTATCATAACTCTTAAGCAACAACTCACAATTTTGATCATCAAATCATGCGATCGAAATCTATCTCTTCGCGATCAGACTCAACCTGCTATTTCTTTAAGCTTCCTTTCTCTTCTTCGATCCTACGTAACATCAAAATGTAATCTTATCACATCATGTATTAAGAATCTAGAAATAGGAAATTAATAGAGTTAGATAATGGACTTACGTGAAGCAGAGTCAAACACTTTGACTTTACCATCCTTGTGATCTTTCAGGTAAATACGAAACCTTCGCATCCAATGCCCCTTTTCTTGGCAATAGAAGCAAACAAATTCTTTTGGAATGGCACACAGGATAATCTCTGACTTAGACTTTCTCTTTACCATTTGGTCAAAATGTTTGACCTTGGTCAATCACTTTCCGTTGGAAAGAGAAGACATTTCTGGACTTCCAATGTTTCCATTGTCAATGTCCATGGAGATTTGGGAAGTAGATCTTCCATTCAAATTTGCTTTACAGTGCGCCAAAATCATTGTTGATTCAGCATCAATTAACAAATAGGTAAGATCGATGAGGATCGCGTCACAGTCTATCATATAGTAATCGTTAATGAACTCACTATATGACTTAGGAAGTGATTACAGAACCAAGTCAATAGCTAAGTTCCTTGAAACGACTCCTAACATTCCCAGCCTGTTAATGTGTGACTTAATCTCCAAGACACGTGCACACACAGACCTTCCATCTTCATGTTTGCTTGCCACTAGGGGTTAAGTGACCTTGAACTTTTCAAGTCGACGAACATGTGCGTCAGGAGCTCGTACGAAAAAGTTACATATTTTACAAAAGTTACATATTTTACAAGTTCATATAAATAACATCGAAAACAGAGCTCGTACGCAAAAGTTACATATTTTACAAGTTCGAAACCCGAAATCCGAAGCTGTCAGGCTTGCCACGACGTGGCATAGTTGGCCACAACGTGGCAACATGACTGATGGCGTCTTGTCAAATGGAAGAAGATAGGATTATGGAAGAGGATAGGGTTTTGCTCCCCATGACGTGGCCAGCCTTTTCCACGACGTGGCACCCAAAAATCCACCCCTATAAATGGAACTCTTGGGGTATCGGGTTTAGGTGCTCCATTCTTCCATCCCTCGTGCCAAAACTCTGCGGTTAAGCTCCCGAAGCCCTCTCGAAGCCCCGATTTTCACACTCAAATTCCAAAGGAAGGTTCTACACTCCCGAGATTCCCGAGAATCCCGAGAAAATCCAGTTTTCCTAGTCGAAGTTCTGCTCGAATTTCATCTCGCTTTCTCCAATCTATCTAGTGAGTTCATACCCCTATAAACTACACTTTCAAATGTTTTATCAATGCGTTTTATACAATTTAAAAGGGGGGGGGGGAATACAAGTAAACACACGGTTATTATCGTATGTAACATAAAGTTTCACTATATACTCTTTTTATCAAGTAAATCATATGTGATTCATAACTACTACATGGGAACTTTTGTATGCAATATATATCCTCGATAACATCTTGTCTTTTGGAAATAAAACATGTTTATATATATATATATATATATATATATATATATATATATATATATATATATATATATATA